TTCCCTACAAAAAAGCACTAGACATCAAACAGGGTTGATCAACTCACCTGCAGTCTCCGGATCTGAATATCAGAGAACTGCCTAATTCCATTGATCGGAGGCACCAAGCGGGTGTAAAGAGCCTTGTAAAACAAGATGCAAAATTAGCAGCTGCAGGATATCCCATAAATCTTGACATAATTTACTGTGTTTAGTGCACTAGAGAAAGGAATTGCTTGCACTGTGTTTTACCTGATCAGTCTGGGTCCACTCATGGAACATACGAGCATCGATAGCAGCAGCTACCAGGTTATTGGCTGCAGTGATAGCATGGATGTCACCGGTAAGGTGGAGGTTAAACTAGGAGGAGGAAAACAAAGAAAAAAAGGGAGACACCAATCATCTCACCCTTATTTAATTCTCATTTATTACAGTCAGATGGAAAGAGAAATATAGCAGTGGTACCGGGGGGTGGGGAAATCACTCCGCACAATATGTGGAGCAGGAGATAGAATTTGTCTAAACAGAAAACACCTCCCCCACATTTCTACAACTCCCAGAATGCAGCATGCAAATAAAAGCTTTCCTAGACCAGAGTCATTTCCTTCAGTTCTGCCAGGTCTTCAAGAGTCAAGCAGCTGATGGCACAACACAGCTCTATTGCTTTAGTTGTTCTTGCATTTCAGAGCTGTGCAGCATAGGCTGTCTAGGCTGCAGTCATTGTAGCTAGGATATTCTTCTCCAGGCTAGCTCAGGTGATGCTTACAGCCTAGATGCAGTAACAAAGAGCTCAGGACATGCACAATACCCAAGCATTCAGCCTCTCCAGTGGTTTCAGAAGCCAATGCTGAGTTCTGTGCTACTGCGACTATATTGCCATCAGCTCCCAGGTCAACTAGTTTAAAGCTAGCTTGCATTCAACTATAGACACTGCTAGGACTACAGTGTAGATGGAGTATAGGCATTTGAGATTTATAGCCTTTTCTTCTTGTCTTGAGCATAAACATGAAGATGAAGAGGAGGGGCTGCAGTTAAGACCTAGCCACAATGAGAGAGAGATGAAGGAAGAAGACAGCATTAGAAAAAAGTCAGAAAACAGGCAAGACCTACAAAGGCCTTAAAGCCACAGACTGAGACCTAAGTGACCAGACAGCAAAAATAGAGGCAGCACAGCCACATGCTGCAATAATGCTGGTTCACTAAAACCAAATGACCTCTTGCTGTTCAGTTTTGTAGCCTTCACTTTAAACCTCTCTGCTGGCTAACAGTCAGGCCAAGAAGAGCTTGTTTGCAAGTTATGTCCATCAGTGTCTCAGCATCTGTGTCATGATGAATGACTCCAGAGATCTGCTGCTTAGAAGGGAGAGGCAAGAAGTGGGGGGAAGGGAGGAATGTATTGATTTTTAGAAAAATCATACATTCTGCTCTTGTAGGTCTCTGCCTTTCAGGTCAGAAATAGCACAGTCTAGCTAGCCCCCTCCCAGAGCCATCCAAGTTCCCCATGTTGGGCTCAGACTAGTGTTTTGGGTAATCTAGATAACTGGTCCAAGTGACAGTGCCTCCACAGCCTTTTGGGAGGTGATTTTTGTTGTCAAATCTACTGATAGACCCCTCAGAACCACTTTACATCAATCTCTGCCTTTATTTATATATTTTGTGGCTGTGCTACATAAATCCATACCAGCTCCCCACTCATCACCTCTGCTAATCCTCTTTAAATTCCCTCTAATGTGCCAATATATTTCAAGCACATGATACAAAACATAATTACCTATGTGCAGTAACACCAATGCTGCAGAGCGAGGGGCCTTTTCACCCCCAACTCAATTCTGCTACCTGTGTAATGTAGCTGCTTCCATGTAACACTGCAGTATTCCTGACTAATGTGTTGCCCACCAGCACGTCTGTGTCTTCACATTTCTACTTTTCAAATTTCCCTTTCCATTGCAATTAATAATCTGAAACAGTCAAATCTAAGTCCACAGAATACATTATTGATAGAATCCACAAGTGTAGGGTAATGTGTAATTAAGGACCACTACTTAATATTTTGGTACTTTAAGCACCACAGTATTTTACAAAAGAGAGTCTTCATTATCCTCATTTCACAAATGAGCCATGGAAGAACAGGGAACTGGTTAGTCTGAAAATGCAGAGCTCCACAGCTGGGCTGGGAGGAGAATCTCACCTGTGTGCACATGCCAAGGGCTCCGAGGGCAGAGCTACGTTGGTGAGGGACACGGACAGTGCAGTTCTGCCATCAAAACACCCCACAGGGATGCAGCTCTGATGGCAGAGGACAGCTCCAGTCATTTCACGGGGGTTGTCGCAGCTCTGTCAGCAGGGAGAGGTTTTGCTGGCACAGATGTATTCAAATCAAGGGCCCCAGCCACTGTAGTTAAAGTGGCAACAGCCCTATGGGATATAGTTCTCTTGGTTCCTAGGCCTGTACAACAATCCTGGGACTTCACAACGGCACACTATGTATCTGCCCTTGTGCTTTGTACTGGAGCATATATATTACAGCTCTGTGGAAAAAAGTCTGCGCTCTTTTTTAGACAGATACATCTGCCTCTACACAAGGTTTCCATGTTAGCTGACCACAGTCTGTCTCTATATAGGGCTGGGCATTACACACAGTAGGGCCATGAGCCAAAATTACCTCCTCCATGGGGATAACCTGAGAATAGCCACCACCTGCAGCTCCACCTGCAAAAAGGCAAAGGAAGGAAGTCATCATCAGCCAGATAGTCTTATGTCTCCTTAGCATGCGGTGAGATCAAAGAATACTTACTTAAACACTTATTTTCAAAAGTCTCAATTATTGAACCAGGCTGGTTATAACCCAGCAAACAATAAGTATAATCAAAGGCTGCATCCCTTCTAGAGGGATTTAATTCTCTTTTCATAAGAGTGAAACCCTAGATCAGGGGCTTTCAACTTTTTTTTAATAAGTGTACCCCCAAGCTGCTGGATGTGCAGCTGGGGGGATGCCACATGGCCAGATGCGGAGCAGCAGCAGCGTGGGGTGGTGGTGGCAGCTGCCTTGTGTGAACTACCCCTGCATCCAGTCAGCCAGGCGGCACTTGTGTGGCCCAGAAAGGGGCACCACAGCCCTGGGCCCCCCACCCCCGCCCTGCTCCTGGGAGGTGGCGGTGTGGGGTGGCAGTGCTCCATCCCTGCCCACCTGCACATACTCCCTAGGGCCTTCCCAAGTACCCCCAGGGGTACATGTACCCCTAGTTGTCAACCCCTCCCCTAGATGATATCGTTGGGGATTATCCTATGAAGGAACAGAAAACAGTCCCTCAAGACAAGTGACATTTCTAAGCATTTGCCAGTGACCTTTCCCACACAACTTCAATCCAGCACAATCTACCAGCAGTAAGACCCTGCCCGCTCGTACCTTTTATGCCAAAAGTTGGCCCCTGAGAAGGCTGCCGGACACAGGCGAAGACGTTTTGGTGCAGATGAGCTCCAAGAGCCTGAACAAGGCCCATTGTTGTGGTACTCTTCCCTTCTCCCAGAGGTGTAGGCGTTATGCTGCAGTATAAAGCACACCATGAACAAAAGACTCCTTGAAGGACAAGGTTCATAGCAGGATTGCATAACAAGAATAGCCAGTAGCTATCTTTTGCAGCAATACAAATTCCAGAAAAAACCCCAGCCTCGGCCTTCAGGGCTGAAGCCAGTCTCTACCCACAAGACATCAGAAGGAAGCCTGCTGAGGAAGCAGACTCGCTCAAGACTGGTGTCTTGCACCTTCCTCTGAAAGACCGGGTGCTGACTGTTGTCAAAGATGGGCTACTGGGAGAGGTGGAAGGTAAATGTAATCCAATCTGACAATTCCTAAAAATCTCTTCAAGCGGCCACTGCACTCTTTATGATCAAGCAATAAGACTTCAAAAAGTTCTGCCACCTTCTCCAATACTGCCAGGAATGGTAGCATAATTTCATAAAAATGTAGGCTTATGTTTTCATGCCTAATGGATAAGTCACTGGCCTCCTAAACCAGAGATTATGGATTCACACCCCACCTGGGGTGATTTGTATAGCATATTACTTTTGATCAAGTCTACTTTGCTTTCTTGGTGGATGCAGGGATGGTACTGAATAAGGGCACTCTAGAGCAGTGGTTCCCAGCCTTCTCTTGCCGCGACCCTAAATCAGGACCCCCCCGACCCAGAGCCGACCCTAGGGAGGTGCAGGGCCCAGGACAAATCAGCCCATGTGGGGCCCCCTTAACACTGAGCGGGGCCCCATGGCCTGAATTTCTGGCTGGAAGAAACATAAAGAAACCTTCACCCTGTGGGGCCGGAGGGCAGGCCAAACCACAGCCACCCTGCAAGAGGGAATGGGGCCGCGGCCGCTCCACCGGGCCAACAAGACCCTACTGCAGCGCCCCCCCCACCCCCCCCCCCCCACGACCCTGATTTGGGTCACGCCCCGAGGTTGGGAACCACTGCTCTGGAGATATCTGGTTCAACACTCTCCCTGTATACCACCCACTGCTGCCACCATCAGAACCAGGATACTAGATGGCTAGATGGACCACTGATCTGACGAAGTACATTCCCTTATGTTCGTTAATAAAAACACCACATCGTGCCACATGTTCTGCTAACTTGAAGCCAAAGGAATGGGACCGTCTTTCACCATGATGTTATTTATGAGAGGTTCCACAAATGCAAGAACAACTTACCCTGTCACAACCACGTATTTGCCATCTGGCTTGTCCTTCAGGCGTCTGAGGGCAGAGAGCAGAACCTTGGCTTTCGTTTGACCATACAGCTCTACCTCCTCAGAGATCAGGCCGATTTCTTTTGCAAGCTGACCAATGGGCTTGGGCATGCAAGATCGAGAGATCTCAATATCACTTAAAAGGAAAGAGAGGGGTGAGGCAAGTTAGACTGCTAAACCACAAACCAGCTTCCACCACGTATAACCTACAAAGGCTTAGCATAAAAAGTGAAATCTTATTTCATGGCTAACAAAGCCCAGCTTGGCAGAACTATTTAGTTCACGGCATTATGGGTAAGAGGCTGCCCCAGTGCTGGATGGCTATTAATGTGTCCAACACAAGGATTTTTTAGCCAGCTCTGTGATGTTTCACACGTTTTCATGCATCTTCTCTTCGGCAGAAGCCCTAACCCAGCTCCTCCCAGTTCAAGGAGCTCTTGCTATATCTGTATAGAGATTTCAGCCCCACAGTTTGGCAAAATATTTAAGCATGTTCAAGTCCTGTTGAAGCATCAACTTAGGTTCCTCTGACCAAAGTCCTTTTTTACATAACTGCTAATGGCAGTGCTCAATGGCCCTTAAAAGCAGTATGGAATACTTCACCCAGACCTCATTCACCTACCCATAAAACCCTGATGAGCAACATGTATGTTCAACAGCACCAGCAACTGCTTTGCTCTACACAATGCAGCCTCCATCCTTCAGCTTGGCATATATGAGAGGATCTTTGCATCAAAGAAGAGGAACCCAAAGATGTAAACAGGGTCAGAAAATATAGATGAAAGAACCAGTGTACACATTACCCTACAAGACTGGGACTTTTAGGCTTTCCTTTGCAACCCACTGAGAATATTAGGAATCAGAATGACCTGAAGCTATTATCTCCTTGCCCATAAACCTTCTGTTTTACTGCCCATACCAGACAACAGGTAAGATGGCCATGGTACTGAACTGTCAACAGTAATTTATTTTAAAGTGTTACCTGGGAACAGGTGTCTTTAGGGTGAGCTGGTTATACTGGATGCTCCATTTTCCAGGCTGGAATTTCTCAAGAAAACGTTGTGCACTCTCCACTGTGCTCTGAAGGGGAAGAAAGAAAAGGGCTTGATTTATGGTCCTGAATGGTGCATGCAACAAGCTGGTTTATAAATACAGCTCTGAAAAGGTATGCCCCCTTCTCTTCTATCTCATCTCAGGTCAATAATGCATTTGGGGTGAAGTCATTTATTTAATTTTCTGAAATAGCTTTTCTAAGCCCAGTCTTTTTAGTGCACTAGACTGGATTCACCTCCTAGCCCAGGAGGGTTTGCTCAACCTGGTGAGGAGTGGGGCAAGGGGTAGGCATTTGCACTGCCACTCTCTTCTTAGCAGTCCCACCACCCTGTGGGTGGTTTTAAAATTACAACTGGTGCTCTCTGCAATCAGCATCAAGGAAGACCGTTGAGCTCATTTTTCGAGCACCTGCTGGCACACAAGCTGGAATTCTCTTTCCACCCAGCTTCCCTCTTCCAGAAGCCTGTAAGCAAATCAAGCCCCCTGGCAAAACCATCTTGCTTTGCACAGTACTAAGGGAACAGCAGGCAAGACAACAGGTTATAGTTATGTGAAACTCCCTGAGCTCTTTGGTACAAGCCACACCAGGTAACATGATGTGTGTGGTGAAGTCGCATGCAAACAGGCAACAACCACAACCAAAACCTCAACCTTCCCCCACCCTGGGATTTAAACACAAAACAATGTAGAGAAGTATAGGGGAAGCAGCACTGTACTGCATAGGGTGTTCTGATGCTTTGATGGATTAATAGCAAAAAGCTGAAGCCCTGGCTCAGTACAGGAATAGCAGCATTGTATACCAACAAAGGATCCTTGCTGTGAACCAGAATGCACACCTCCCAGACGAGGTACAACTGTACCTGCACTATGAACTTCTGCAAGTGTAACTAGATTAGGCAGGGATCACACCTCTTTACACTTCTAACTGACATAGCTGGTGCCAGCACAGAACTCCTCCCAGCCCCTCACTCACCTCCACCCACCCCCAGAAATGCCAATTCACTGTGTGTTACCTAGTGAATGCACACACAGAAGAGAACAGGGTACACCCTCTGCTGTTCACATACCTGCATCAGCATGGCCACAGTCATGGGTCCGACACCTCCTGGAACTGGTGTTATGTAGCCAGCTCTTTCCTTTGCTTTACTATATGCCACATCTCCAACTACCCTTTTCCCACTGGCCTTGGTACTGTCTGGGGAAGAAAAGACAAATGGAAGAATGTTGTAAGACAGCATTTCACGGATACCATGAAGGAGGCTGCATCTTAACAATCAGACTCCCAGTGGGATGAGGACTCAAGTACCCTGAAATAATAGAAGCACAATCACTTGGGATGCAGCTTTTCTCTTTGCTGTAAGTCTTGGATTTCTCCTTTAAATGAAATGTAAGGGCTTGTGAAAACAGAATTATTTATCTGCACACTAGGGGGACCACAGGCAGCCTCGCCTTTCCTAAAGGGTCACCTCTCCCCCTTTGGAAATGTCATGAAGGGCTCCAGATCACATGTTGCTTTGGCAGTGGAAAGATCACGAGTACACAAAGTCTCAGCATTGTGGGAGACAGGAGGTATAGCTAGACAATCTACAAACTCACTCCAGACAATTCTCAAAAACTGACTGAAAGCTATATTTCCAATTGAATGTGAATATGATTGAGTGATCTGGAAGAGCAGTGGGGAGTAGAGAGCTAGATTTGCCTTTACTCTTTATATACTAATTAAACTTTTTTGCATTACAGGGCAAGTCTAGACCCTGCTCCGTTCTTAAATAATTATAACCTATAAAATATGGCCTATTTTACATTTAATTCAAAGGGTTCTATAAATCGCCAAAAGGGGATGAAATGTAATACTAATGCTCCAGTTTGCAACCTAAGACGCAGTCCAAACAGAACCTCGTGAGCATGTTATAACATACAGGGGACCTTATGTAGAATAAAACCCATTGGCTTTTGGACAGAGGCCAGAGTTTTCCATTCTTTTTGGTTTCTTCCTACTTTGCAAATGGATGGCCAATACTACTGCAGTATAACTAGATCAAAGCTTTGTTAAAAATCACATTTGAAATACAGCTTAAAAGAAAAATGGAGGCCTCTGCTTAAACAACCAAAATGTCTTCTCTTTCATTGGCAAACACTGACCACCAACCCAGCTCTCCCCCACAAACGGATGATCCTGAATCCAGCGTAGCTTTGTTTTTTGTTTTTTTAATGCTCTCCTTTCAGTGAAGTCACCAGGAAGGCTCACACGTACGGGGAACAGAATTCACAAGCAGATCGACAACGCTATTTGAGGAAGTCGATGCATTTCGGTGTGGCATGCCAAAAAGGTGGCTTTAAGTTTCCTTTCTAGACTGATGGGCCTTTATTTCGCTGACTTAGAATAGAGAAGACGTTTCATGCCACAAGGAACAAGAGACACACTTTTCAGTAGCTATACAGCAGATATACAAGCGCAGAACATGATCCATAGCTTTAGCATTCATTCTGAGAGACAAGTAAGAACCTTATATAAAATGCCTGACTGAAAAAACAGAATAGAAAGCCTAAAAATCACTAGCAGCAACTACAGACAATGCTAATATTTTAACCACGCTGCTGCTGACAATTAGCAGTTTTGATGTTTCGCTACGTTTGTGCGGTAAGCAACAAATTTCCTCCTGGTGTTCAAAGCCTGCACAGTGTCATAGCTGCTAAATCGTGTTTCTACAGCAACTGTCAGCTTGCTGCCCGAGCTGCGCAACAATCCAACCGCCCGTCCCAAAGAGCAGCTTCATTAGGAATGCAAAAGGCAAATAACACAATTACATTTTTTTTTCACAGGATGCCAAGGAAGACTACAGATCATACCAGCAAGGAAGACTCCATCCCCGGCAACAAAGACAACAAATGATCAATTATGCACTCAACACAAAACCATCCCAATCTGTTACACAGAAGTAAAGGCAGGCACGAGTTTTCCCCACTGTCCTGGATCTGAGCTGCCTCCCAGTACAACTGAAGGCTGCACACAGTGCATTGGATTAGCTTGAAGCAGAGGTGTCAAGAATACAGCTGGCAGAGCTCCTGAAACAGCTAGGAATTTGGGGGCTGAACACCACCAAATTGCAGAGTACAGACTCCCACTGGGTCCACGTTTTGTCAGGGCAAGCGACAGCTGTGTTAACCCGGTGGCCTCCCCAAGCCAACAGAGTTGCTGTTCACCCCACTGCTGCGGGTGGGTGCTTCAGATCTGTCCTGTAAGGAGCCCCCTAGATCCAGATCCAGCCTGGAGTTTGGATGCCCATGCTTTCAAGTGTTTTCCTTCCCATCCTCCAAGCCTTGATCTAGTGCCTGACCTCTCTCAGTCACCCTGTAACCATCCTCCGCTCTAAACCTGCCCCCTCAGTATTCACCATCTCAGTCTAAAAGAACAGGAGTGTGTCAACAAAGCAACAAAAGCTCTCAAGGGCTGTATTTTCTTCAAAGTAAGAGATTGTCTTGACTACTAAAAATAGTCGAGAACATTCAGAGAGTTAGAGGTCAAAGGAGCTAGCTGCAAATAGTGCCACTGGTGGATGCAGCGTTTCACAGGAATGAGACCATGTACCCGACTCTCTACATGTGCACGATCAAATCAACTGCATGCGAGTGGCTTGCGGGCAGATGAAGCATGACCGACTTGCTATCTGGAAGTCAGCTGTAAAGGTTATTTGCCGTTGGAGGCTACAGAGTGACTCCCTAGCAGATTAGCTTGGCACAGTTTAAAAACCCCTGCAAGCACCAGCTCAGGGTTTCCTTCAACTGCTTCCTCAGCAGGCTGAGACTGGGTGCTGCTCTCCCTGCTCTTGCTGAAGCAACCAGACACTCCAATCCTAAAAACTCATAGGATGCGTCCCCGTGCACTTCCCCAGGGACGAGCAGCAGTGGCATGCTGTGTGCCACTGCTACTTGCCCCTGGGAATGCCCACGCCACTTGTGCTCTGGCATGTGGCACGTTGCCCCAGGCGAGGTAGGGGAGGCTGAGGCCAGCAACTGTGATCTCCCGGGGTCAGAAAAAAACCCCTTGCACTGCAAAGTAGCAGCGCAGGGAACGCCTGCACGTACGGTATGTGGCGCTGCAGGCTGGTCGGCAATGTCTGTGCTGGTCTGGACACACCCGTGGGTTTCAAAGCAGGAGGGAGCACAGCTCTTCTGTCCCTGCAGCACACAGCAAAGCAAAGCAGTGCTCTCTGGGACAGCCTCCCAGTGGCAGCACCACACCCTAAGCCAGGGGCGGGCAATTATTTCAGCTGGGGGGCCACTTAATGAGTTTTGGTGAGCTGTTGAGGGCCACTGGCCCCACCCCTTGACAAGTGCCCCGCCCCCCTGGTTGCCATCTTGGGACCAGAAATCCCACCCCCAACCTCTGACCTTTGCCATCAGAAGTCCCTCCCACTGCCCCTGGAAATACTTCTTTTGGGAAGGGGGTTTGCCATCTTGGAAATGAAAAAGACCCAAAGTATACACTAAAAGTCAAACCTCCGTAAAAACATATTTTAATTTTATTTGAAAAAATATTTTTGTTCTGATTTGTGTGCGTTTGGGCTGTATATATAGAAATGATTCCATAACAGCTCAAAATGAAGTCTTACTCTTGTATATTGTGGGGTATGGAGGGGTGTGGGGGTTATGGGGTTTGTGGGGGGATGTGTGTGGATGCAGGGTGTGAGGGGCTGTGGGTGTGTGTGGATGCGGGGTGTGGGGGAGGCTGTGGGGGCATGTATGAATGGGGGGGAGTATGGGGTTTTGTGGGGTGTGTGGAGGGGGTGTATGTGTTGGTGTGTGTGTGGTGGGGTGTGTGCATGTAGCAGTGAGCAGGGCTCCCTCCAGAGGCATGCAGGTATGTGTATGGAGGGGGTGTGGGGGAGTGCGGTGTGTGGGGGGTGTGTGTGCAGGAAGGGTGTGGTTGTGGGGTTTACAGGGGAGGGTTTGAGGGTATGGTGGGTATACATGGGAGCCCCCTGCATGTCCCCCTGAGCTGGTCAGCACTCGCCTCTGCCAAGCAACACCTCGGAGCCTGTGTGCCCTGTGGCACCTCCCTGCCACCACCAACAGCGTGAAGCCCCAGTGTGAACCACGTCCACTCCACGCCACCTGTCCTGAAGCATCTTGCCACCCCTGGGCATGCAGCAGGGTTGGGGCAGCTCCTTGTGTTTGCTGCCAGCCCCAGCCCTGCAGTAGCAGTGGGGACCCATGTGTGCAGCCCTGACCCTGTGCACCCCACACTGCTCTGGGCTTGCCAGTCCAGACTGAGCTGCAGCAGAAACTTGCTTGGTGCAGGAAGGGGGCCAGTCCTGCTGCATGCCCAGGTGATGGCAGGATGCACTATGGGTGGGCAGTGCCTCAGCCAGACGGTAGCAAGGGACCTGCCGCAGGCCAGACGAAGCCCTTCTGCCAGCCAGATCTGGCCCATGGGCCATACTGTGCCCACTCCTGCCCTAAACTTAATTAGTCTGCAGTAACTTTGTGAAGGGGATGACGTGATTGACTGACCCCTTCCAGTCCTTGTAACCTCTCTCTCTCAGACCTCAGGAAGTCTAGTTATAATGCACAACACAATTTCTCTCTCCATCCCAGAGCTGCGACTCATACTCTCTGCAGGCATCTAGCTGGGAATACGTGAATGCATGCAAAAGCCAGACAAAGCTTGCAGATGACAGTTAACATTCAGAGCAGAGAGCTTCTGCTAATCTCAGAGGAGAGGTCTCCGCAGCAACAGTATTCTTTCTATGCTGAGGAGCTGACAAAGCAACCACTGTGATGCTAGGAAGGAAACAAATCTCACCATTCCTAGCCCTGGCTTTCCCTTGGGTACTGCTGAAAGCCTTTTACTAGGACCTTCTTACAAGGGAGACGTAGGCAAAAGCTTTGCAGAACTCTGCAGGCTCCCAACCAAGCAAAGACATTTGAAGATGAACAGTTTTCATAGGACAATGTAAAACACCCAAATGCTAGGCCTCCCATTTCCATAGAGGAGCCAGCATCCAGCATGGCCAGAGCTGACTTTGCAGGAGGTTCAAAACCGATGAAATTCACAAAGGAACAGGGCCAAATTTTCAACACCTGGCTCTCACCAGCCCTCAAACAATGGCAACATAGTGGCACGCCAGGAACAGGGTGGTATTTTTACTTGCAACATGTTGATGGGGGAGGCTGCAATCTGCTTTGCTTTATGCAAATCAGATGTGGCCCTCTGGCTCCTGGCAAGCTGCCCGAGTTTGGGTAGCATAAATATATCAAATAATAACAAACAGCAACAGCAGATTTTTACTGCTCTCCTTTTAATTAAGCAGAGGACCTAGCATTTTTAAAGTACAACTCAGATGTCATCAACAAGGAACAGGACTGCTGAGCTGTAGGACAGAAACTTTTTTACCTTCCATTAGGTAATTACATTGCAACAAAATGACTGATCAATTATAAAGCTACCTTTAAAAGAGTGCTGTGGGTGTAGGCATGATAGCAGCTTGACGGTGACTAATTTTCTGTATCACTCAATATCTGCAACTTGGATTTAAAGCGAGGAGAAAACAGAAAAAGCCAGAATGGCTGTTCCTTATTTACAAAGGAGTCAAAGTAAATAAATTAAACCCTATCCCAGAACCCACTGTGTTCTGCAGGTTTACTTTTGTGCTAGACCCACTACACTAACAGTTTGCAAATTCTATTTTGCTTCAAGACAATACTCCTTCAAAATTGCACAGTTCACTCCGTACGTACAAATTCACAGCTATGTTATAGCTGCTTACTCTATATAGCTTTCCGAGTTTAGTCACATGCTAGATCCAAGCCACTTAATCAGATCTAATGCTACAAACCAATGACAACAAATCTTCATGCTCAGAAACAACAGCTACTGCCTTGAACACAAGGTTTTGCAGCCATGACAAAGTGATTATTTGACCTTTTATTGTAATGTGCTTCTTGCAATGCTCTTCCCCATCACATGGAGCAGTGGCAAAACTCCTACTGTCCTTCATGAGGACGGGAGTTCACCCAGTATCTCGTTTTCCTCTGCACATACTTGGGAGCTGCCTCCAATAGCCAAGGCAAACACAATAAAGCTATATCCTCAATGGTGTGGAAGCTGTGAGGAAACACTACCTACGCTCTGATTTAGACCCTGTGGGCGTGTCCACACATGCAAGCACGTGCGCTTACAGCAGCTCTAACAGAAGCGGTGCAAATTTGAGCGGGCGCTTTTTGCCTCAGCGCACGTGCTTGGACATAAGCTTTGTTGTGGAGCAAATTGTGCTACTTGGGGCAAAATAACCCTGCCTGGCTCCTCCCTGATCTGCAGCCAGGGGGAGTTAGAGCCTGGGGCCAGCACCTGTGCTGTCCCCAGCAGTATAAAAAGCCACCCTGGCAAGTAGCTCAGGGCTACTAGCTCTCAGGAGCTTCTGGGGTCCAGCCAATGGGTACCCAGGGACACTACACCTTGTGCCAGCTGGACTGCTGAAGCAGCCCTGAGAGGTCCCTGCACCCTCTACCCGCTGCAGTAGTCTGGCAGTGGGGGCTGCTGCCTGGCTGTACCCTGCTGTGCACCTGCCAGACTCAGATGGAGACTGCACAACCAGTAGAGGAATCTTCCCCTCTAGTCCAGCTGCCAGTGTACTGCGGTTGCAGTGTTGGCCTTTGTGTGGCACTACCGGCATTTTGG